AATCGAGATTGGACTGCTTTTCTGCATCTCTGCTTAAAACACATCCAGATTCAGGAGCTCGATCCTATCCTTTTTGCTAGTGGGACCTCGGCCCAGATGATGGAACTTGATGAGTAAAACCAATTGCTAATAATGAATTGCGTGGGGCCGGTCAGCTAAATGATAATATCAAGGCCATCGCCCTTTTTTTTTTTTTTTTAAAGGTACGTTAGAATTGGGCACAAATGGTGCACACCTGCAAATGGATTGGAATTCCCAACGCCTGCACCTAAGCTGGGTAATGGTCCAAGTACGTTGTTTGTTCCTTTTCCAGGGGCTACCGTCTTCCCCCGAACACAACGCACCCTTATTGTGGCTGTATCTGGCCGTAAATATCGCTTGTATACATTCATTTTTAGGGTGCGTAATGTTCGGGGGAAGACGGAAGGTCCCACTTGCCCGAATGAAGAGATAGAGAGACCGTAGATAGAGACCGTAGATAGAGAGACCGTAGATAGAGATACCGTAGATCAACGGCCGAGATCTCGTAATCCGTGCAAGTGGGACCTTGGCCCGGGTTGTTCTGTGGAGGGATTCCTGGCCTGCCCCTTGTTTGTTTTGTGTATGTAATAAAAAGAGGAGAGTTGTCCTTCGGGACATCCGTTAAAATTGGAACGATACAGAGAGAGAAGATTAGCATGGCCCCTGCGCAAGGATGACACGCATAAATCGAGAAATGGAAAAAAAATAAAAAGAAAAAAAGAAAAAGAGCAGAGTTTCTTTGTCTTGTTAAAAAAAAAAAGAAAAAAAAGAACTGGGCACACAAGTGCCATTCATGAGGTCATGGGATCAATCGCCACTGGCCGCCTGGGGAACGCTTGGTGCCAACCAAGTGAGAGGTAGTTGGCTTTCTCCCGCGCGTCAGTATTGGTTTAGGGTTTAGGGTCTATAGCCAGCACGAGTGTGGGGGTGCTGTCTTGCTCGCTCGCTATTCACAGCTCCACGATAAAGTCATGGCTGTGTCAGACTGTTCCGTCGGACTTTAACCGACTGATCAGGAGGTTGGAATAGCGTGTTTTTTTTTTTTTGTGTGTGTGTGTGTGTGTGTTTGTGTGTGTGTGTGTGTGTGTGTGTTTGTGTGTGTGTGTGTGTGTGTGTT